CTTGCAGGTCTTAATTTTATATTTCCTTGGTTCGGTGGGAGTCAAGGCTTGGGTACTGTGGGCAGATAGTGATCAACTGACTCTATGTCTTCCTCATACAATGATTACAGAGAAGCAAGCAGACCAAGACACAGCTGCTGGTCCCTGACTGATCACACATAAGGACACATAAGACGTGAACCTTATTCTTTTCTAGAAGTAACAAGTATTGACTCCATCCTCTAAATGTTTACATTTACAGTATCTTAGTAACAAATTATGAGTAACATTGCTAAGAATGGGAATTCCATAGCACTTAATTCTCATGAGGAACTTGTACATAGACCGAGAGGCTGTCATTCAAGCAGAACAAGGGGATACTGCATGGTTTAAAATCAAGAAGGGTGTCTATCAGGGTTATATTCTTTCACCATACTTATTCAGTCTGTATGCTGAGCAAATAATCCAAGAAGTTATAATAATGTGACATCAGAATTAGAGGAAGAACCATTAACTTTGATATGCAGATGACACAACCTTGCTTGTTGGAAGTCAAGATTACATGAAGCAATTACTGATGAAGATCAAAGACTACAGTCTTCAGGATGGATTACACTTCAACATAAAGAAAACAGAAATCATCACAACAGGACCAATAAGCAACATCATCATGATAAATGGAGAAAAGACTGAAATTTGTCAGGGATTTCATTTTACTTGCATCCACAATCAACACCCATGGAAACAGCAATCAAGAAATCAGATACTGTATTGCACTAGGGAAATCTGCTGCAAAAGACCTCTTTAAAGTGTTAAGAAGCAAAGATGTCACTTTGAAGACTAAGGTGTGCCTGACCCAAGTCACATTATCTTCTGTTGCCTCACGTGTATGTGAAAGCTGGTCAATGAATAAGGAAGACCAAAAAAGCATATCTGCCTTTGAATTTTGATGTTGGCAAAGAATACTGAAAATACCATGGACTGTCAGAAGAACAAACAAATCTGTCCTAGAAGAAGTGCAGCCCAGAATGCTCCTTGGAAGCGAGACTTTGTCTGACCTGCTTTGGTCGTGTTGTCAGAAGGGACCATTCCCTGGAGAAGGATATCGTGCTTGGTAAAGCAGAGGATCAGTGAAGAAGGGCAAGACTCTCAACAAGATGGATTGACACAGTGGCTGCAGCAATGGGTTCAAGTATAGCAAGGATTGTGAGGCTGGCACAGGACTGGGTGGTGTTTTGTTCTGTTGTACATAGGGTCGCTATGAGTTGGAGCTGACTGGACAGCACCTAACAGCAACAGCAAGTTATAGGAGAAATACCTAAGAACAAAACCAAAGGAGCAAACAAAGAGCCCTCACTATTGAATGTGATCTTTTCAGAGTGTCTTGAACACAGTCCTCGTGACTTTTTACTAAAGAATGACACTACCTTTTGACAGCTGAGGGAGACAAAATATAAAATAGTAGCATATATGGAAATGACTAATGAATATGCTGTTTAATACTGAACACTTCACTCAAAGAACTGTTCTGCCCTTGAAGAGCTGACATTGAGGCTTTCCTGTGAGAATCCACATAGGAAGATACTTTTTTTGTGAAAAGCTGTTAGCTGTGATTACTTTGGCATTTCACATGCTTGTTGTCATCACCTTGAGCCCAGTTAACAATTATGAATCCACCTTTTCCTTTCAGATCACTTTAAGGATGTTTCAATGAGTCTGGTCAGAAGAAAATGAAAACAGCATGAAACCTGTGCCTTCAGAACACCAAGATCAGAAGGCAGGAGATGTTCTCCGTGATTAACAACTACAATGTTTTCCTCCTTACAAATGGTATGTATTCCCATTTGTAGACATGAAATTTACTTCTTCCTACATGGATGCCACTTACATTTATTTCTGAAGATAAATATTAGTTGCCTAAAAGTAAGATACTTTAAATAGGTTAAGCACAGTGAAAACGTGTAAGCATTAAAAATAAATTTTCAAAGGTTGCTGTATACAAATCTGTATGTTGTTGTTGTTATGTGCCGTCGAGTTGGACCTGACTCATAGTGACCCCTCCTTGGGTTTCCGAGGCAGTATCACTACGGAAGTAGATTGCCCCATCTTCCTTCTGAGGAGTGGCTGGTGGGTTTGAACAGCCAGCCTTCTGGTTAGCAGTCAAGTGCCTTAGGCACTACGCTACCAGAACTCCCACAAATCTTTATATATTGCTGTTATTTCTCTCATCAGAAAGCAACCTAAAATGTGTTATATGTAGATGAGCTGATAAAGTACTATGCTCATAATGACATGAAACTTTGAGATGAGTAATTTAAGCAAAAAAAAAATGTGAGAATAAGAAAATTAAAATTTCTCTATGTCTGTTTGCCATAAAAGTCCTACTGAACTCTGCAGGTATATTCACTTTGTCAGACAACTTTATTATTGTTACATGCCGTCAAGTCAAACCTGACTCACAGCGACCCCTCCTGGGGTTTCCAAGGTAACATCACTACGGGAATAGATTGCCCAACCTTCCTTCCGAGGAGCGGTTGGTGGGTTTGAACCGCCAGCCTTTTGGTTAGCAGTCAAGTGCCTTAGGCGCTACGCTACCAGACAACTTTAGGTAACTTTTATATTAAACTTAGGGTAGATTGCGGTCTGGACCACTAGGTGGCACCATTCACAAGTGATAGGTTTTTCCCATCCCAATGAAGCAAGTAGTTCTTTTCTCACCAGCTGAGTGAAAGTCCTAGAAATGAAAGACAGGACATATGAATGTTGATGAAGTGGATCGCAACGAAATAAACTGTTGAATCTAGACTTTCTTAGTTTGAGAGTAATCTAACAGACTATTATTTTACTCCAAAGGAGAAAGAAACCAAAATTCGTAGCGAAAATTATTTGACATAAAGGGTGTGATATATGTACAGAAGTGTCATTCACTTGACAGAGAATGTAACGAAGTTTTAGGACAAAGGAGCACCTCACTCATTAGGACTTACTCTTCCCTTTTATGGTTGTGATTGAACCAAAGACCAACAAACATATGATGTGAACCCCAAAAAGCCCTCAGTGGCTTCAATAATACAGTTTCTGTGCTCAATATTTCTGTGGTGATGACCTTTTATTTATTTGTCTATTTTCCTCAGCAAAAGCCTGGAATGATTTATTTGGACTTCTATGTATTTGCTTCCTGCTACATTTCACAGGCACAGAAGAAGCTCCTCTGAGTATCCAGTTCAGATCTCTGGTTCTTGATTCTGATGGTGACAGTCTTCCACCCCACTACTGATCAGCAATCATGACAAGTAAAATTTATTTTGAGATACAGCAGTGGACTGTAGCTATCCCTCCTCCTCCACTTTTTACTCCCCCCCCATATATATATCCCCCCCCCTTTTTTTTTTTTTTAACATAGAATACAACCCTACTACTTTTTGGTCAAATAGGCATTGGTACAAATATTATCCACTGACATTGTTTAGTAGTACAGTCTCCCCCTTCCACAATCAGTGTAACAACTATTTTTATATTTAGAAATCCTAATACAGAGGGTGGCCTGAGAGAGCCAAACAGGTTATAGAATATATGCCTAACACAGAAGATAAGAAATAACAGGCATGAAAGAAGGGGCTCTGTAACAAAAATATCAACAGTTCCTTGAGGAGGAGGCTGGAGGAATCTGGGGTTCTCAAAAAGTCACTAAAATAGAAAGGAGAGGAAATATGTGTGGAAAGAAGGAGTGAATTTATATAAAATGGTTCCTAATTCAGATCCTGTCAGCAGCCTGGGTGCTGCCAGTTCTCAAGTAAACCGCAGCCACATTTTGAAGGCTCTGAATCATACCCGTGAGTGCTGCATGTTCCATCTTGGTTTGGCTATTGGGCTGTTGATTCTTCTATTCCCCACCTGCTGAATGAATTGAGTTCCTGTGTTAAAACAAAGAGCTTGTAACGGTCCCAAGGAAACTTCCTGGCTTACACAAGGTAGTCTGTTTACTAACATTTTGCAGGATAAAATTTTGTAAAAGAGTGACATTAAATAACCTCTGCAAATGCTATTTACTATTTTGAAAGCAAAGATTAAGAAGGGAAAAAGAAGAGTGCATGAAATGCCTACCACTGGATGAGCTTGCAGGGTGGTCTTGATATGTCAAGAGACCACGACACTAATAGAACAGAATTTGTAAGTAGTCAGGAAGGCGAGTGGTCCCCAGAGACAACAAGAAAGTGATAGTTACTAAAGGGATGCATCATAATGCAATGACAAAAAAGACAAGACTTGAATACATAACCAATATGTTATAACTTAGAACAATTATCTTCCAAGTCAGAACTATTCAAGGGGCATAATGTAGCCCGGAAAAACAAACAAAATAACTAGGTGACTTTTTCTATTATCCAGGTCGGAGTACACTGTGGTCTTCAGACTGGTGAATGAGACTGGGGACAGCACACTGTCTGGTACTTTAGAACCTCAAGATGATCTATTCCAACCCCTTCATTTTCCAGGCGAGGGAAATAAGATCCAGTGAGGTTAAGTGAGTCGCCCAGCTAGACAATGACAAACCCAAAAGGAAAACCAGTTTCCTGATTTCCAGTTCAGAAGCCATTCTTCCAACCATCCTGCCTGGAAGGTAGAAAGAACAGCATGAGGGGTACACATAGGGCCACATGACCACAACACTAAGTTAATTCAATACAGAATGCTTCTCAGGGTAAGAATCAGGCAAAAAAAAAAAAAAACCCTGACAGAGCAAGCCTAAAGAACAGACTGACAAAGCCAGGAAGTATTTAATACCTTTCCAGGGCAGGATGGTGGCAGAAAGGTAAAAGGTCAAGGAAGCAATGACTGTTGAATTAAACTGTGACCACACCCTCACATTTTAGTCAATAAGTTGAGGCAGGTCTATGCAACAAATACTAAGGGCACTGGTAACAAAAATGGAAATTAAAAGAAAATCTTTTTACTAGAATATTTGTAAATGCTAATTGGTAATAATAATAATAATAATGATAATGATAATAATAACGATACTTTTTAAAAAATCACTTCAAATTGCATATTACAAACACACACGTTGTGAAGAAATGCTTGCTTGTGTGGTTGAGAATGAATCACTGTCTTCCCTGCTATGCTACAACTTTATTCCTCAAAGGGCACCAGCTGGGTCCCCACCAAGGAATAAGGAATCTTAGTTATTTCTCCTTTATACGTAGATTCTCCACTTCCCTGGTACAAACGGTAACACTGGTTCTACAACTTCTAGAAACAGGACACTCATGGGAGGATTATCTGAGACACTTGATGCGCGAGTTTTGTAGCAAAAGTCTGTGATTTTTCTGTAAATTACTAATGTGAAATAGACACAACAAACCGTCCACAGCTTCAACTTCAAATGATTTGAACAAAAATAGAACGAGCCATGGACAGTGTCTGTATCCCTGTCCAATTTGATGTAAACAACATTTGTAGAAATTGGGTTTGTTAAGAAAGTTCATCCATATATCTGGATAGCAATAAAAAGCGTTTCCTAGGAAACTGTAAGATCCTGTACCACACAGCATACAGCCCAACTACGAGGAAAATTAGGTTGATTTCTAAATTCAAGGTACAAATTTACACAATTTTTTTCAACTCCTATGATGATGTCCGAGTAAGTGGGCATTGTATATTGGTAGTTGTATTTGTTTTCCTTCTTTTTCTCGCTGCAATCTTGCCTGTGAAGCTCATTGGTCTAGTCTGGATTTCCTCCTCAGCTGTGATCCCCTGGATGACCACAGACTCTGTGTTTTCGTCCTTCATTTCCAGTTCTAGCATGGGTCAATACTGTCCTTCTGCTGCTAAAGACACTACTGTTTCATGTCTTCCCATTTCTTCCAAGACAGCTGCCAGCATGCTTAGGTTTCCATCTGGGAAGTTCTGTGCTTCCCAAAGATCCAGGATCACACCAGTGGGGCTCGATTTGGTGGCAAAGTAGTTCAAGTACCTGCAGTTGGGAATAGGAAATGTGCTGAACAGCATGATTTATGGACCTATTTTCTCTTCTGCTTTTATTTAGTTAAAAGTTTCTGTCTCTCCACTTGCCCCTTAAGGATCCTAATCCCACTTGAAAAACTGGCTTACAGCAAGATGTCCTAAATAACTAGCCCATATTTAATTAGATCAGCCCCGGCAGGAGATGTGATGTTTAACTTTGTTAACCTCACGTCTGAGTAAGATAATTTAAGAGACAAAATGTCTATGGGTCATATCCTAAATAGGAAATCAAGAGACTTATGTTTTCTTTCCAGCCCAGGCTCTGATGATCTTTGACAGGTCAATGCCATGCTTTTTACTCGGTAATGATGACATTACACCCTACAAAGTAGAGACTCTTGAGGTCTTTTTACAACATAATACCAATACTGTGTTTAGCATGTTAATTACTCATCAAGCATTGTATCCTGCTTAACAGGAGATGGGAATAATAATACTTTGTTGTTGCTATTGTTGTAGGAGCTCTAGTGGCATAGTGCCTAAGGCATTTGATTGCTAACCAGAAGGCTGGTGGTTCAAACTCACCAGCTAATCCTTGTAAGGAAGGCTTGGCAATTTACTTCTGGAGAGATACCACTTTGGAAACCCGAGAAAGGGTTTTGGCTTGCTTGTTGTTAGGTGCTCTCCAGTCAATTCCCACTCATAATGACCCCATGTGACAGAGTAAAACTGCTCCATAGGGTTTCCTCACCTGTGATCTTTATGGTGACAGATTGCCAGGTCTTCCTCCCACAGAGCCACTGGATGGCTTGAACTGTTGACCTTTCTGTTAATGGCCGGTGGATTAACCGCTATGCACTATGGCTTCTTAATGATTACTTTCATGAACGGATATATTATTTAGGAGGATTTAGCCCATCAGCTTTGCACAGTGCTTCACAAAACCTGATACTTACAAAAGTCAGATTAAGCCCAGTTCCAGCTGTGGAATTGAATTTGACTCATGGTGACCTCTTTGTGTGCGAAGAAGAACTGCCCCATAAAGTTTTCAAGGTTCTGATCTTTCAGAAGAAGACTGATATGCCTCTGGGTGGTTTTGAACTACCAGCCTTCAGTTAGTAGTCAAACACTTAACCATTTGGGCCACCCAGGGACTCCTAGATAAATCTCTCAATACCATGCTTGCAACTGGTCAATGGTGCAAGGTGCGTTAAAGGAGCTTAATGCATTTTTGCAGAATGAAACCGCAAATAAATTGTATGGATGGAGAAAATGAATGCTTCCCTCCGTCTAACAGTTACTAATCCTGGAGTCTTATGTCTAACAGAAACTGGTCTCGGAGCCTGGTCATACCCACCTGTCCAGGTTCAGCTTATGGGCCAGCATCCTCCAGTCATGCCCTCTGGTCTGTGGGGCATCCAGGCTGCTACAGAGCTTCTGCCTGATGGGGAGAGGGATACTGAAAGCACTAGGGCCTGTGATGGTGGTGATGGTGCTCGCTGGATCCAGCAGAGGCAAATCAATGCCAGTAGGTTCCTATAGTTCAGTAACAGAAACAACACAGTATTATTTCTGAAGACAAAAGCAATCCCTGTTGAAACCATCAGCATAATGCTTTGTTTTGAGTGATAAGGAAAGAATGAGTGCTATTATTCTCCTTAGGAAGAATGGCTTCTTCTTGGCCTGGAAGTTGCTATTTCTTATATGTAACCTTGCTGAGAAGAAGAGGTGTAATTTGCGCTGACTTTGCATAGCCTTCGGATTCATGGGTCTTCGGTGAGGGCTGGGCTACACGGAAAGCTCTTTCGATGTTCAATAACAGCTTCCCTGATGGGATTCTCCAGGATGCAAGAGGAGAGAGAGATCAACGCTCCTAAAGGTTTAGATTTCAGAAGGGGAGACACGATCAAAAGGGCAGTTCTTTGAACAGATCTGAGATTAGAGGCTGAAAGTTCAGAGCTTCTGGAAACCGCGTGACCCTGAGGGGACTGCCCTGAGTAAATGCCTGAGTAAATTCCTCATCTCTCTTCTGCCCAGGATGGCTCCAGTGCTGCTTTTGTTGAATGAAATGGAAGTCAGCTCTCTTCTAAATGAAATCGAATTAAGACCTAATTTTTAAAAAGAAAATGGTAAACACTGTATGCTGCTAAGGGCAAGCTGCTGACGGCATCCTCCAATCGCTGTGCATCCTTATATTTGTAAAAATCTAATTTTAGGACAGAAAATCATAAATTGGCTCTTAAAATAGTTTCAGCTCATAAAGCAGCATAAACGCAAAATCTGAATTTCATCCGCAGGAAAAACTCTAATCATTTTCTGATGACTTCTGCTGGCTAGAAAAGGAAAAGCAAATGTTGCCTAGGAACGATTAAAGCAATAAAAGAAAATCTACTTAATCTACTTTAAATGTCATCTCTCTTCGTCAAGCAGGTAACTCTTGGGTGTGCATAATGTTGCTGGGGGATAAACTAGCCACACACAGTGGCAGCCATCATGAAATCGCTGGTGTCTTGATGAGTGCTCAGATGAGGCGATCAGTGTCATCATTGCCCGGAGCCCCTCAAACCCCACCAGGTAGTGCCGCAGTGATGCCTGGAGCAGCGGGAGCACAGGCACTGTGGGCGGGAGGGTAACCTGAGCCTGTGTCCCTGTATCCCTGGGTCCCCATGACTGAAAGTAAGTTCTGCATTCTAGGATCAGCAGCCAACATACACTTCAGGGGTTGTGTAATCCCACTGCACAGAGGTCATCTGGGGGCTTGGAGGGCATTTTAAAGCAATTTTTTTTTTTTTTTTTTTGCTATAATATGCACAGTGGTGATGATTGTGATCACATCACAGTATTTGGCTTTAAAACCCAAAGCTTGACACACTGATTCTGAAGATCCCAATGGCTCCTTTGTGTTAGCTCTAGCTCAAAGCAGGATTTAAGACTGGCATAAAACACAGAAGCAACAAAGGGGAGCTGGAGTCACTGAACGAGGAATACATCTTCCAGATCCCACCCTCACCCTTCACCCCCCCCCCAAGCAGGCACAGAGCTCTTTCCAAGGGACCATGAGGAGAAGGGGTTGAAAAAATGGTGGCAGAGAGTGATCCGTAATGACATGTCAGTGTTTCTCAATGGAGTTACGTTTAGGAGATCTGAATATAGGTGTCACAATGCCTCTATCAGGCATAAAAATGGTGTATGCATTAGTTGGGGGTGGAGGTGAAGAGAAATTCCATGTTATTTCCACACCTCAATCCCATCACCCATGATGAGGTCCTGCTTGTTTCTTGTCTGGACAATACCAATAGACCCTAGTTGGAAACCTACCACATCCCCCAATAAAATATGACCCTGATCCCTCTATTACCAGTTGGTAGTGGAGGTTAAAGTCTGCACAGGGAGAGCTTTGTGTTTTGTAGCTCTGGTTCATGATTCCTAAGATTCTTTGTTCTTTTGACCACAGTAACTCCATACTGCTCACCTATGATCTGAGCTACAAATCTGTGCCAGATTAATCTTCTTAAAGCAGCACAGATTTCCTCTTTCACTCTTACTAACAAGTTGCCACAAATTGGTTTGACTCATGGTAACACAACGTGTGTCAGAGTAGAACTGCTCCCTAGGGTTTTCAGTGGTTGATGTTTTCATGGCCAGGCCTTTCTTTTGAAATACCTTTGGATGGACTTGAACCCCCAACCTTTAGGTTAGTAGCTGATCACATTAACCATTTGTACCACCCAGGGACTCCTTCATCCTCTTAAGTTTTAAATGCCATATCCTTGCCCTTTCTTATCACATGAAGTCTTAACTTTTATTCAGGCAGTGAGGGATATTTACATGACTTGCCTCACTGGCTGGTGTGAGGCTAGCACCCAAGCAATGCATGTAAGGAACAGAGCTGAGGTTTGGTGCATAGTAGGAGTCTTATTTGCTTCTGCTACTTGACATTCCGACCCCAACATTTCTCAGGTCACACTGTCCTTCATATGACTCATACTCTCTTCAGACCAAACCACTCACTATTCCCTGCACCTTTTCTAAGGACAGTTCTTCATCTCTGACAGCTCTTCAACTTTTTCCTTAATCTTAGTTGGGCAAACCTGTCAAAGGCTGATCAAAAGGCATGTGTGGCAAGCTTTCTCTAAACAAACCCACTCAAAGGTATCACACTAGCACACCTCCCATAAAACTTTCCACAGCTCTATGGCATTCCTTAAGAGTCTGTTCTGGTTACCTAGTGCTGCTCTGACAAGAATATACCACAAATGGGATAGCCTTACCAAATAGGAGTTCATTCCCTTACAGCTTGGCGGCTTTAAGTCCAAGTTCAAAGTGCCAGGCTCTAGGGACTGGGTGAAAGCCCCTCAACCTTGGTGTCCAGCTCTGCCTCCTGCTCCCGGCCCACTGGAGTTAGAGGCGTTTCTTCACTCAGACAGCTTCTGGCTGCTGAGGCTGACAAACCCAAGGTTGACAAGTATAAAGGCACAGTCCCGATGTCACCAAACCACATGGCAGGCCATTAATTTAAGTCCATTATAAGTCCCAAGGTTAGCAGAGCATGGCAGGCTGCGGAACAACCACATGATTACATGCAGCATCCAAGCATGCCATACACTAGAGACCATTCCCAAGGCTTCTGTTTATATACAGGAAGCAAACCACATCCCAAAGGCAGCTACTCAGCCGCTTGTGGTAGATCCCACCATGGAGTTGATTGCCAATCTCATCATGGGGAGTAACCACCACCAGCTGCCCAGCCACTTAACCAGGCCCAGCCAAGTTGACACACAAACATAACTACCACAGAGTCCCTAGGTGATATAGACAGTTAAGCACTGAACCACTAGCTGAACGTTTGGCCATTTAAACCCACCCTAAGGTGCTTCAGAAGACAGACCTGGCAATCTACTTCAGAAAGGTCACAGCCTTGAACCTCCAATGGAACAGCTCTACTCTGTACAAGTGGGGTTGCCATGAGTTGCAATCCACTCAATGGCAACTAACAACAACAAAAACATGGCATTCTTTGTATTCTGTTGGTGTGTGCTGGTTGTATTCATGTGTTACTTTCTTCCCAAATGTCTTGGAAGTGGAAGTATTTTTGTCATCCTCAAAAACTCTATTCTACTCAGCACAGTGCCCTCCATATTAATTAACATTGATTAATTAATATTACTGTTGTTGTTGTTGTTAAGTGCCGTCGAGTCGTTTCCGACTCATAGCGACCCCATGCACAGCAGAACGAAACACTGCCCAATCCCCACCAGCCCCACAATCCCTGCTATACTTGAGCCCATCATCACAGCCACCATATCAATCCATCTCATTGAAGGCCTCCCCCTCTTTCGCTGACCCTCCACCCTACCAAGCATGACATCCTTCTCCAGGGAATGGTCCCTTCT